AGAAATTTTATCCTAAAAAAATGAAAGCTTAAAATTTTTTTTCAATTTTTTAAAGGTCAAGTTTTTTTTTTTTTTTTGATCAAATTGATCAATTTTTTTTTTAGTTCGTTTTTTATGTATTTTAAAAAAAATCATATCAAAAAAAGATAAGACAGAAATTTTATCCAAAAACATAAAAGCCAAAATTTTTTTCAATTTTTAAAGACAATTTTTTTTTTTTGATCAATTTTTTTTTAAATTGTTCGTTTTTTTATGTACTTTTAAAAAAAATATATTAAAATCATCAAAAAAAAATAAAATAGAAATTTTATCTAAAAACATAAAAGCCAAAATTTTTTCCAACTTTCAAAGGCCAAAAAGCTATCTAAATCTTTATTTTTTCCTTTTATGACTTTTTTAATCATAAATGCGCCGTAAAAATAAGCAGAATAATAAAAAAGAATTTAAAAATGTTAATTTTTCACTTAGTTATGATCCAAAATGAGGTTGAACCCACTTCTAAATAATTACCGAATATAATTTTTAAAAAAGTTTTTTTATAATAGTTTCACGTTATTTTTTTAATTATTTAAGCTTGTCTAATTTTATTATTACTGTTTTTTTTTTTTAATTTAAAAAATTGTTATACTTCTACTGGATTCATTCTCGATTTTTTTACAATATTTAAATTTTTCTATGAATGCTAAATCAAGGATTTTATTTTTTAGATTTTCACCTGCTAGTTTACCGTTCATTTCTTTTTTAAATAGAATATAAATTAGTAAATGCATAAATTTAAAATGAAAATACCACAATATTTCCAGAGAAAAATAAAAAAAAATTTTTTTATCAAACATTTGGATTTATTGACGTAAAACGAACAATGCCTGCTTTTTACAATAAATATGAATCAATATAGAAGGTTAATACTGATTCAAAAAGGTATTAAATATTTTCAATATCTTTAAAAAATGATTTTATTCAGTAATTTATTTTGAGAGAAGAATGCAGTAGATTAAATTTATTTAGTTCCCCCGTGCCGAAGAATAATGGAATGGATTACGGTACCGATAGATTTTTGTTCAATAATCCAATAATGGAAGAAAATAAAATTATAAGAGATTGAAATGAAATTAAAAGTTTTAACGTCGAGACAGATGAATTTAAAACACGTCGGATAGATCGGAAAGGCGAGGGAATTTTCTTGCAAGCTTTTATTATTTTCTTATTGCATGCCTCGGGATTTAATATTATTATTTTATTTAATGTTTATGTATACCAGCGTGTGCCTCAGGAGCGTAAAAAGTTTATGAATTTTTAATATCCGTGGAAAAATTAAACGCTAGGGTAGTTTTGTTGTAAATCGACCGAGGGGCTTTGAGCCTGCCAGCCAACTTTGAGTAATATTGTTTTGAGTGTGTGCGTAACTTATTTATAAAATAATTTCTTATTTTAACTGAAAAATGCTCGCTTATTGTTTTTTACTTACATCCACTAAACTTTTGTTTAATTAAAAACTTTATCCGTACTATAAAGACATTTGATAAAACTTTTTATGTTATTTTTTTTATTAAATGCTGATAGAGCTTTTAAAACGCGGATAGATACGCATATAACCTTTTAGAGCTATGCTAGTTTTAATTGCCACTCATCCAGGGATTTGTGAGAAAAAGATTTAGTCATTTTTATTTCTATTTCATAATCGGAATTTTTAAATTCGTAAAATTAATAAGAACGGGTTTTTGAGGTCACGCTTCTAATTTAATATTTTTATTTTAGTATTTTAGTTTTACGATTTGAATTTTTTAAATTTCAACTTATAAATAGTCAAGCTTAAAGTATTAGTACGAGCACCAAGGCAACTTTTGATAAAAATCTTAATTTTTTTTTTTAATATGTCTAAATGAATTCCGAAAATTTGAAGGAGATTTCTGTATTTTTCTTGTAAAATTCTCAGTGAATATTCTTAAAAAAATTTTGGATGAAAGTAAATATATTAGTGATGAATTTAATTCAAAAAAATTTACACTTGCCCGACTAATTAAAGTGTATTAATTAAAACAAAAAAATGCCGCCATTAGTCAATGTTAAATGTATATCTTTTTTTTCTATTATAAAAAAATAATTTTAAAGTTATAAAAATTTAAATTAAAAACTATATTAATTTTAATTGAATAATTTGCTAGAAAAATTTTTAATAAACTAACTTTTGAATATTTTTATAATCAAAAAAAATAATTTTAAAGTTATAAAAATTTTAATTAAAAACTAGATTAATTTTAATTGATTAATTTGCTAGAAAAATTTTTAATAAACTAACTTTTCAATGTTCTTATAATTAAAAAAAAAAAAGTCAATTTTTAATATAAAATTTTTTTTTGTATAAAATACAAGTATAGTAATAATGAATGATAAAAAACTAACAATAAAATATATTACAGGACCTATCAAAAGAAATCACCAACACCAAGCGCCGGAGGAACCGGCAGCAGAGCAGGGTGGCGTTCGCGCAGAAGCGTCACCACGGCGGGTGCAACTGGGCACCAACATCACGTGATTGCCACGGTGGCGGTCACGGCTCAGGCGAAAATGCAAGCCGAGCAGGGTAGCATCGGTGAGCTAAGGGGCTACCACAATCTCCGGTCTCGTCGTCATACGCTGGCGAATGTACGGTGAGTACTTGGGTTTCGGTTAATCTCCGGTTATTTCCCGAACTAGGGACAAGAGACAGCATCCACATCAACAGCAACAGCAATAGCAATAAAAACACAAAAAGAAACATCATGAAAAGATACATCTGGAAGAGTTCCACATCACCTCTTGAAGCGACCGCTGTTCGCTTGAGACCGAGGTCTGGACCTGGTCCCGTCTTCGTCTGACCTCGGGCTACTCGGCCCAGACTGTGATTTATTGTTGCCAGTACCACACGGATCACAGTCGCATACTTCACAGCTAAAGTCCGGATAACCCTTGGGTGGCTTCGGGCGTTTAAGTTTGATAGAGGTGTTGCCAGTCTCTGGTTTTCTTCGGCTGGATTTTGAGGGCTTAGTTTTATGGCTTGGCTGTGTTTGCTGATCAGTGAATTCCGATGTTGACTCTATTAAGCAAACACGACTTGCCCCCTGACCCGCTCTCGCCACTAATTCCTCGTATTGACTCATCGTCAGCTTTTCCTATTTTATTTAACAAAAAAGGTTTTAAGATAAATAAAACAAGGGATTACTATTTATTATTCTGTTGAAATCGATAAATATTAACGAGGGCTGGAAATGAACCGGCATTCGCTTCTAATTCTTTTACGGTTAGCTGAATTTTAAACGACCGCTCACATCCATTATTTATTATTCTCTGTCTAATGATTAAAAGCTCAATTAATATGTAATATTAATTAGTTTAGGGACTTTTAACAACTGACAAACTAAGGGGAAATTTTTTCCCGTCGTTGATTAAATTTATGTCATTAATAATACAACTTTCACAATCTAATTTATTTTAATCATTGTTATTATTATTATAATAAATAATAGATAAAATTTGTTAGTATCGATCCACTGCCCGTTCCTAATCTCAAACCTCAGATACTTTTACAAGTCTAAATACTTTAAGGTTCCAGTGAATCTTTGATAAAAGTTTTTCCAACTTTGAAATTTTAGATTATCTTAACTTTTGTTTTATTGAAACCTTTGTGGGCAATAATTAACTTCAAACAAAAAGTTTTTTTTTCTGAATAATAAAACTAAAAACAGACTAATTTTTATAGAAAATATTTTCTACACGGAAAAAAGTAAAATTCTGGTTAGTTTTTATAGTTTCAAACAGTACAGCGGGGTGGCACAAATGTAAATACTACAAAACAATGTGGAAAGTGTAACAATTTATAATTTAATATCGAAAATGTAATTAGTTGTCACTATAGTAAATAACGACTCTCTCATCTTAAAAAATTACAGTTTCAAACAGTAAAATTGCCGTTTCAATATATAGTCTATACTATAAGAAGAAAGAGAAGGTCTAACACTTGGAGAATTTTACATTTGAAACAGTAAAAATTCTACTCTTAAAATATATACTTTACCAGTCCAAGCAAATCAATAATTTGATTTTTAGCATTGCGTTTAAAATTTACCATATTACTTTGTAAATATTGACGTTGTTTGTATAGAAATTTAACAACTGAAGTTTATATTTTTTTACATATCATGCCATCATTTTTTAGGTACAAAATGATAAATATCAAAGTCAAAATTCTTAATTAATATACTTTAACATTTTCGACTTACATAGCGAATATTACCGTTTGAAATAGTATTTTCTTCCATGTAAATAATAATAAATTGTAGCATTTAAATAATAAATATTATAAAGTGATTGTTAAAATCACCATTACTGCTTATAATCGACTATTATTTATTACTTTTTTCCGTGTAGTATTAATTTATTTTTAGAGTTGATCACGTGTCGATTTTAGTTCCATAAAAAATTATTGCTAGCTATCCATTAACAGAGAAGACATTGACCGACATTTTGAAGCAAGAACTATCAATCAAAATGGCGGTTCTTTCCAATTTATTTACCGATTTAGCTGTAACACGTAAGCGGGTTTTCAATTAGTTCTGTAGCTTTTCGTATTTACTATCAACTTTCAACAAAAAACTACCCTCAGAACATAAATCCACAAAAGTAATCCCGTGGAGTATTGAATAAAAAAAAAAAAAACTTACGCCTTGTCGGACCTGGTGACAAATGCAGCAGGGTTTGAGGCTGTCTGATGACAATCTTCTGTCAAGAGCGTGAGTCTGTCCGGCAGTGATTGGTCGTCTGTCCGATGGTTTTTTTATAAATTTCCTCCTATCCCCATCGGTATCACTTAATCCATCAAATTCGTTCATACTTGTTTCTTCATTCCGATAAATTTTCTTCTCTTTTCTCGGTTTATCTTCCAAAGATTTTATCCTTTGCTCCTTTATCTTCCCTCTAGCTCTACCTCTCGGTGAAGTTTCGTCAATTTTACGGTCGACGTCGCCCATCCTCAAGCTTAAAGCTCTTGCGGATTCTGAAGAATTCGTTTTGCTAGCATAAGATCCCGTGTTTCTATCAAGTTCTTTAAAATTTTCTCCCTGAGGCGTTGGATTCGCCGCTAAAACCTTGTGATGCCCTTTAAATTTAGGTTTACCTTCGCCTCTTGCAGATAAATTGCTTGTACTGGTGCTTGCCGTAGCAGTATTACCACCAGAAGAAGTAGTTGTTGTAGTAGTAGCAGTATCTAGATCCACGGATATAATATCCACATTTGATAGCAGTACAATAGAAGCTGCGCCTGAGTTGTTGGTTTCATCTCGATTCTGTTGCTTCTGCCGCTGACTATTCTCGTTCAGTAATAATGAAGCATCTGGATGGTCTGATTGCGATTCATCTACAAGTGGGGGTGTTACCAAAGTACCTACATCACGTCTATCTCCATAAACTTTGTCCATTGTCAAGCTAGTAATTGTATCAGCTGTCCTTATAAAATCTCTCTCACTCAGTTTATCTCTATCATCCGCCTTAGGACTAAATTGTACTTGTATACCGCTCGAAACATTATTTCCACCAGGCGTATTTACCTTTGAGCCTATTGATTTACTGTTAATTGATTCTGAGCGTATTGCTTCTCTATCTTCGCCCCCAACATCTGAAGACGCCTGCCGATAGGAACCAGAATACTGGATTGACCTAGCCGGATCGATACCGTAATTATCCTCCCGAAGCTCTGCTGTTTGTGTAGATTCTTTGTCAATCGGCGTAGACGTTCCTGATGGCAGCCCAATATGCTCTTTAATCATCATCATTTCTTCTTCTTCTCCAATACTTTGCCTCAACTCAAGATTCCGTGGTTTTGTGCCTCGTTTTTTAATCAAAGACCTCTTCCCGTCTGGATAAACACAGGTTTGGTTTAATAAACAAGAATAACTATCAAGGCTAAGGCTATTTCAATACTAAGATTGTCCATGTCAATAGTACCTGTTATTAAATCTTGATTTGGATCATAATTAACACTCCGCATTTGAATTTGATGGGACTGATCCCCTGTCTTGGTCACTTCACTCAACGATCCAATCTACAAGACCGGAAACGGCAATATTAAACGGCCAACTAATACTATTATACGCGAAATTTCACTTACCTCTAAATGCCGCTGTATTGCCTCTATAATTTCAATAACTTCGGGCTTTTTAATATCACATTCTCTGCATTTCTGAAATAGTATTACGCATTTTATTACACCAACTACGTTTAATTAAAAAATTTCTCGTAAAAAAATTTTTTAATTTACTGACAAACTTCTCTTTCAATTCTAACTCTTTTATATAATCATTATTTATTTTAATTATATCCCAGATTTAATCTTTTCAAAAGTTTAATTAATCCTTAAAGTATTGAAGTCCTTTGACTAAATGCTAATATTTAAAACTAGAGCTTTTGAATCGTTAAAATAATTAATTAAAGAACTTGCCGAGATAACTGAGTGCGTAGAATAAAGACTCTTTAACCATGATTCCAGTTCGTTTCGTTTAACAGAAATCGTTGCTGGTTCTTGCCCCGAGGCTGCTTGATCTACCCCGTAATCCGTTTCTTCTTTGGACAATTGGGATTTCAGTGATACAAATGATTTTGCAGAAGATTGCGCTTTGCTTGTACTAATAGCTTCAGGGAGTTGATCATCTTCAACGTCAGAAAATTCGTAATTTGTCAACTCTTTGCTCAATTCTGATTTCATCGATTTAAAAGATTGTCCGTCGCTTTTATGAGTTTCTTCAAATTTCACTGAATTGTGCTTAGATTGGTTGCGACTTTGTTTAGAAGTACCTTTGCTTTTCTCACCTTCAAACCTCGCTGAGCTGTGTTTTGATTGATCAAGACTCTGATCCAAGGTATCATCAGGAATTCCAGAGATATCATAATTGGTTTCTTCCCTGCTCAACCTCGATTTCATCGACACAAATGATTTATCACCAGAAGCAGCCCGAAATTCCCGTTGGGAAGATTGATCAAGAGCCAGTTCATTAATTGAATGACGCTCACCAGAAACATCAGGATTTATTCCACGGCTGTTCTCAATCTCAGCGTTTTCGGGTCCAAAAGGCAGCTCCATCTCATACTGAGTAGACTGATCATTGATACTGCGGGTATTATGATCCTCCAATTGGGGAATAGTCGATAAATTCAAGTGAGCGATTTTACTGGCAGTACTGTCGTCCAATAAAGATTCTGGATTACCAAATAGTACTTTAGCTTCTCGATCTAATTTTTCATTGCTGGAGGACTGAGCTGAGAGACGTTTACCTCTTCCAGTATCCATTTCTCCGGGACGATTATCATCTAAGCCAGGACCATTATCTCTTAAAGTTTTATCGTTGTTCCAAGCTGAACTGTCTACTACAACCCGTGATGATTCATTGTCTGTTCCAGATAATAATGTCTTTCCGGATATTTGTGCTTCATCAAATGTAGTAATACGTTCAACCGTTTCCTCCCCAGTCTCACCCTTGAGATTCCCTTGTAATTTACCATCCTTATTCTCAGAAGACGTGTAAGAAGAGCGAGTATCCTGAATAGACTGAATTTTTTCATTTGTGGATGATTTTTCACCGCTAATGTCCCTACTCGAATCCCCCGGAATAGGATCCTGAACAGCTCGATCAGTAACTTCTATCCTAGTGTGAGTATTCTTCGAGCTTGTACCAATAACCGCATTTACTGATTTTTCTTCAGTGACTTTCCCGTCAGAAGTTGATCGTACCTTTCTCCTGCTCCCCGAGCCAGAAGATCTATCTGTTGTTGTAACTTTAGCAAGCGTCGCCTTATCTCTGACACTTATTTCACTGTCACCCGTCCCATTAGTTGTTTTCATTTTACCCCTCAATTTGGCACTACCAACTCTCTCCTCCTCATCCAGCCTCTGTTCTCTAAATTCAATAATCTTATTGCAATTACGTAATTTGCTCTCGAGACTCTCAATCTGGTCTTCCAATTGACAAATCCTATCAGCAAGCTGTTGATTCGCCGCTGACTTGGCTGCCAATTGACCACGTAATTTATCAACTTCTCCATCAACCTTCCTCCCATTTCCATCCAAACAGGTGAAGGTACCTTCACCTCCTGAAGCCTTTTTAGCTTTCCAAAATTGGCTTTTCTTCAGAATCTCAACATACGCAGCCTCCCTTCTTTCCAATTCCTTCAGTTCCTTTTTAACCTTGTGCTCCCCGACTATCAGCTCCTCCAACCTGGTGATGTTCGCCAAATCTTCCGGCCCAAAGGAATATTCCGACAGACTTTCATCATCCTCAAGCTGATCCGCATTTCTTTCCTCGTTATTTCTTTCAGCGTCATAAATCTTGCGCTGCAATTCCTCCTGTTTCCGCTTGGCATCCTCAATTTGTTCATTAAGTTTCTTCAATTGTAATTGCTTTTCGTGCAACACTGTACGTGCCTCCTCGTGTCTCCTGAGCGCTTCCTTCCGCTCGGCTTCCAGGCCACCAATCTCTTGGGCTTCGTGCCTCGACGTCGATTGGTTCGTCACCGCCGACATTATCGCCGCCTGCTCCTCGATGTATTTAATGACATTCTGCGGGTCGCAGTCGCTCTGCATTATTTTGTTCACAGTTACCATCGGCAGCCATGTCTCCAAAGTCGCTAACCTGGTGCTTATTTCGGCCTGTCGCTCCAATAATTTATCGGTCCGGTGCTTGCGGCGCGCCACAAGCTCGCAGAAACCCTCAGGACAGCATTTGAATTGTTTATGCCTACTTTTACTTTTGTTAGGATTTAAATCTGACCCTTTTAAGGGATTATTCGACTTTTCTTTTTCGTCTTCTTCTGAAGCTAAACCTTCAACGTATTGTTTCACGGAATTATCCGAGTCATTACCATGAATTAAATTAACGGATGGTACTTTTTCTGGGGTAACCTCATCCACGGTAATTTCTTTTAAAGCCCCAGACTCAGACGTTTTTTCAACACTCTCCGAAAACATTACCGTCGGATTTTCTTCGTCTTCTTGCTCTTGACCTTCAACTTTGTCATTACTTCTCGGCGGCATTATTTCGAGGAGTTGGGAGGAGGAGTTCTCATTATCAACTTTATCATTATTAACTTCATCATTAACCTCAGACATTTTATGCTCAAACTTAGTTTAACCTATTTCAAAACAATTTATTCATTTTTTTAATTATCCTCGCGTTGCGCCGTCTAGTGGAAAATTTTCAACTCACCGCTTCGATTTTTTATTTGTATTATTTTTTTTTTTTGATTGGGAAATTTAAGCTGGATAAACGTAATTGAATATGTTGAAGTGAAAAATGGAATTATTTTTTTTTTATCTGATAGTTCATGGTTTGATAAAAGTGTCAGTGTCAATCAGTTGTATAATATTATTCATGTTTTATAAATATAAAAAATTCAATAAGTTTGAATTTTTCTGAAACTTGTAAAGAAAAAATCAATTCTTTGAAAAAAAATTTATTTTTTTTTTTAAATAATTATTACAAATAACCTTACAGTCGATAAATAAATAAAATTTTGCTTTATTGAATAATGATTTTTGTTAAATTGAAATGTATTTTTTTAAATATTGACATTTTTAAAGATATAAGCTCATCCCGATGGTACACTCATCGAGAGCTTTCATTTGAATACCCACATGCATTTTTGATATATTTTTCATATATACATATATATATATATATATATAATATATATAAATATATGAAAAATTGATGTGGGTAGTCAAATGAAAGGTCTCGATGAGTGTAATGTCAGAGTGAGCTTACATCTTTAAAAATGTCATTAGTTAACAATATAGCAATGTCAGTTCTTAATTATTGACATTTTTAAAAATATAAGCTCATCCTGATGTTATACTCATCAAGAGCTATCATTTGAGTACCCACATGCGATTTCATATATTTTTCATATATACATATATATAATATATATAAATATATGAAAAATTGATGTGGGTACTTAAATGAAAGGTTTTGATGAGTGTAACATTGGGATGAGCTTATATCTTTAAAAATGTCAATAGTTCACAAGATACAAAGTAATTTCTTAATTATATGTATCTAGAGATAGATCATTTTTAAATGCAGCTTAAATGATATGAAACCTTGAAAAGGCACAAATTCAAGTCAAGACCTTTGCAATGACATTAAATTTGACTAAAAAAACCGATTTTACCATATGAATATCCTGAAGACAAAATTTTTCTTATTCTCTTAATAATATAGATAAACTAAAGAATTACTAGAATTCTTGAAAATAACCTTTCTTATTTTTTTCGAGTATTCGTAACTACATTCCTCGTAAATTAAAGTCCTTACAAGGCTCCGAGCAATTGTAGTTTCAATGTAAGTCCATTAACTTTCTCGCAAGTTTATTATTTTGACTCGGGTATATTCTGGCGAGAGTGTAATTACGTTGTCCTCTTTTGTATGACAGCTATGCCAACATATCACCGGTAAAAGGTTTTCTACCCTTCACCATTTCAATTAGAATTTTTGATTATAAAAAAAAATTTAATATACACAGTCTCTTATAGTTAGTAGAGTTTCTTCCCCTTTTTACTAAAAAAAAAAAGCACTGAAATGAATTTAAATAAGGCAACATAAAAAAGGAAAATAAAAATGTTCCCTAAAAAATAAAAGGAAAATAGTAACGAAGGTGTAAGCGCGTGACATAATAATTTTTTATGGGACTTAACTATTTAGTTAGTGTGTCACGATCGTAGCCGGGAAAAATTTAAAAATGAGATTTGAACCGAGGTTAAATATATAGCTTGCCGTCTGAAAGAAAAAGCCAGAGAGAGAGAGAGAGAGGAGAATTGTCGTGAAAAGTAAGGAGCTAAAATAGATGGTAGATGGTGGAAAACTGAAGGTTTATTGCCGAGAAGAAATATATACAGGGGTGGGTCACTGTTACGAGGATGACGGGAGTTAGAAGCGTGACTACAGCCCCTATCCTCTATAGTCACTATTCTACACATAGAATATATACACCGATACTGAGTAGAGTAGAGTAGAGTTTTGTTGAGTTGTTCTATATCTACAACCAGCCCCTTTGGTGTATGTAGGTTAACGGTGACGTCACAAACCGCCTTGTGACGCGTTTCAACTGAAATATGCAGTGTGGCCTCACCGCGAGCGAGCTTTAAAGCTTCTGGCGGGTCATTGACTTCCATTCACCGGATGTTTCATTTCTGACCGCTCTCCGCCCTTTTTACAAAGTACCCCGCGGGTAAAAACTAAAACACACATATATTGTTCCCTAATTTTATTGTTCCTCTCGTTGTACGGAGTAGACCCCTTTTCAGGAAACTCTCCCGGGACTCGCTCGCACAGGGATTGCAGGCTCTCTCGGGGCCCGGCTTCCAATATTTAGATTTTAGCGAAACGTTTAAGTGATACGCTACAAAAAGCTCTTCATTTTACAATCAATAAACTTGAAACGCCCATTGCCATCTTTAAAGCCGTTTTACCGCGCCGGTAAAACGCATGCCTGTCATATTTTTATATTTTTAGTTTTATTTTATTATACTTGCAGGCGATAGGCATCGTTAAGTTTACCTTTTTTATTCTTCTGGGTAACTTTAGGTTTATTTTTTGGCGCTTTGAAGAATGCTTTTTAATGTGATTTTTAATTTTAAGCTTGTAAACAATGTACACTTATAGGATTTATTTATAGTTTAAAATATTTGTTAATATTTAACAAATCATTTATTAGAGACGACTTTTTAGTATTAAACAAATATTTCTTAGTATTTAAAATGATTTGTTTGTATTTAATAAATCTGATATTTATTTATTAAATATTAAATACTAAGAAATATTTATTAAGGACTAAAAAGTCGTCTCTCATAAATGATTTGTTAAATATTAACACATATTTTTAACTATAAACAAATCCTTCTATCAGTATATACACTAGAAAAATTGAATCAAGACAAAAATTTTTGAATTAAGAAAATGATTTAAAAGAGTTTCATTGTCTTGAATGAAGAAGAAAAATTCTTGAATTAAGTTCAATGTACTTGAACCAAGAAAAATTTCTTAATTAAAAAATTTTTCTACTCAAATCAAGATAAAGTTCTTCAAGATTGTTCATTTGATTCAAGTAAATTTTTTTTTCTGTGTACACAAACCAAAAAAATTATTGGTAATTATTTACAAGTAGGGTCAAACCCATTTTTGGCCATATCTAGGTGAAAAATTAACATTTTTATTCTGCTTGTTTTTACAAAAATTGGAAAAAATTTTGGCTCATGTTTTTGGATAAAATTTCTATTTAATCTTTTTCTGATATATTTTTTTTTGAAAAGTACATAAAAAAACGATTTAAAAAACAAAAAGGTGAATATCAGAATTTTCTAAAAAAATTTGTAAATTTTTTTGAAAATTTATTAAAATTGTAATAATCAACTTTGTTTTTTAAATTTTTCATTTTTTTATGTATTTTTCAAAAAAAAAAACCATCAAAATTTTCAAAAAATGAAAATTAAAATGGTAGACTCCACTTGTACATAATTACCTTTTTTTCTTTGTACATAAACCAAAGAAATTATTAGCAAGTAGAAATTTTCTCTGAATTTCAATCAAAGTAATTTTTATCTTTCTAAAAAAATTTTTTTTAATGAAATTATCTTTTTTACAACAAAGAATTTTTTTTTGTGTCGCTTTAAAAATGATGGATAGCTTTTACAACTCTAAAAAATGATATTTTGACAAATCCTTTCTCCCTCGTGGAGTGTTTACGACTAAATTCATATCACGACTTTAGAATTTATATTCATTCGTCAAAACACAATATTTAAAAGCTCTCGAGAAGAAAAAGTTCTCAGAGCATGTGTGAAAAAAATTTTCTCCATTGAATTTATAACGGAAACATTTGTCTGAGCGGAAGTATTTGTCCGAGATAAAAAGCCAGAAGTGGAATAAAATAAATAACGAGCGTAATTTAATTTTATTGAAAAGATCAAAGATACGGAGAGAAAAAGATAAATATTTAATTTATCATCTCGGGTGTATTGCTTGTCGTTATATGCACACGTATTGTGCTTAATGTCGTGTAATGTGTCACGTCTTGGGTGGTCGCGTGTTAGTCGTGAGTTGTAGCCCAAGTGACTGCATAGCAGTCTAAGTCTTGAGTCTTAAGTCTTGTATTGGTGCTGTGTGGAAGATAAACTCTAAGATTCGGATGTGTGTGGGTGTAAGGGTGTGAGAAGCTCCGAAGCTCTGCAGTTAGCTGGGAAGAAAACGACAGGAGCGACGGTGGTAAAAGCGCGAGAACATTGCGACCAAGGCGGCATCCTTCTCTTGGTATCGCGAACTAGGGGTGAAGTTGGTCGCCATGGCGACCGGTACGGGTTAGCTTCTTTTGAACAGGAGTTTGGGGAATCGATCACCAGTGGCGTAGCATCAGGTGGCGGCCTCGATCGCCGCGTCCAACAAGTGGAGTATGTTGTGTTTGAGGAGACGCGTGTGCTGTCCTTATTCACCTCGTACCACTATTATGTCACAATAGAACCCATTATCTTTATGCTTTCAACCATTTTTTTTTTTTATTTATTTACTTTTTTTTTCAATTCTGATGTTTTAATTTTTTTTTCATCATTATAATTATAATAATAATAATAAATGGTGAGCAAATTTAAGAGGATTAAATTTCCTTGGGAATAAGCAAGAAATATTTTATTTTATGAAAAAATTATTTTACACTAGCAACCTTGCAGTCACTACGTGACTGCCAGGACTCGTGAACTATAAATAAATAAAATTCGGTTTTACTAAAATAATTACTTTTGTTAAATTGCACTGTACTTTTTTAACTATTGACGTTTTTGAAGATATAAGCTCATCCCGATGTTACACTCATCAAGAGCTTTCATTTGAGTACCCACATATATTTTTGATATATTTTTCATATATACATATATATAATATATATAAATATATGAAATGTATGAAAAATTGATGTGGGTACTTGAACGAAAGGTCTCGATGAGTGTAACGTCAGGATGAGCTTATATCTTTAAAAATGTCAATAGTTCACAAGATACAAGGTCATTTCTTATTGACATTTTTAAAGATATAAGCTCATCCCGATGTTACACTCATTAAG